TAAAAATTGATTGTAATGAATGAGATGTCTTACCCCTGGCATTAATCTTATGCATGAGATTTTTGATGACATTGTCGTAATCGGATGTCGAGAAGTGCTCATCATTGATGGCCTGAGGGCTCGAGAAGCAGATGTTGTGATACTTTGCCAACTCTTGCAAGTGTTCGTACCCTTTGTTACCGTAATCGGTGTCCGAATACACCACCGATACATACGTCCACTTAAATACTCTATTCATGTGATCAATAAATACATTAGTAATTGATATACGCATACAGCTGTCACTATACATCATGGTCATCCTAAGTCTAATATTATAAATTGCAAGTGAAATACTTTTTTTTATTGAAAACTTGACATAATGTCAAATATTTTGTATACTGTATAAAATATTGATTTTCATCCCAATATGAATAGATATTTTGGATTGAATGCAATTGATTGTATTGGTTGTGAACAACCCTTGTATTGTTACTCCGGACTAAGTTATGGTGACAGCTGTTATGTATAATGACAGCAAAAGTAATTGAATGTAAAATCAATGCATTTGTTTTGCAGAAATAATCTTCAGATTATGTATTAATGGGAAATATAGTTTACAAAATGCAGAGATTAGTAAAGTATATGCAAACAAAACTGTTTTTAATTTAATTAAATAGACTAATTATTTTCATAATAAGTCATTATAATTAAAATTTAAAAAGGTGTTTGTGTGTAATTTCAATGGATGTTAACATTTATAGTAGTATTTAAATAACAAAAGCAGTAATTTCTTTAAAGAAGTAAACGAGAAAACCTTTTAAGGATTACTCTATAAATAGAGTGGAAATATAATAAATAACTTTGAGATTACATCTGAGAAACAAATAAATTATTGATACGAAAAAGTGGGTTATTTTAGCCAAATTGAAAGCAATCGTATAAAAGCTAAGGCTTTTGTCATAAATAAAAACAATAACATTATATTTAGTGAAATATAAAAAATCATATAAAATAACTTATTTTTCTTCTCAACACATTTCTTTTCAATAGATTTATATTGATTTGTGGCTCAAAAATATATCCCAAAAGTAATATAACAAACGTGTAATACATGTCGGGAACGGAAGGAATAGGATTTCACACACAATTGCTTACACAATATATTACTACAATGTATCCTGTACAGTATACACTACAGTATATGGTATTTAGTCTATTAATAATTAATTTACTTATAACTTATAAATTATTTATTATATTAATAGAAATAAACATATTTAAAGCTGTAATATATCGGTAATATTTAATGTTATGAAATAATCAATAATAAAATAAATGTTTAGCATTTATTATATTTGTTACGAAGGAAAAATTCAAATGCAGACACATACAGAATAGTATAAATAATATATTTAGTCTATTTATAATTAATTGTAATTAAATATACAAATTATAACTAATGAAAGACTATACAAATAAACACAGAGAAGCGAAAACATATTTATAGACATGTATTGGCAGAAAAGTACAAAATGCTTACTTCAAGATCTCGAGGATGGCCTGCACTTGATTGACATCTGAAGGCACAGTACGGAAAAAGTATTCGTACTTTTGTTTGTTGGATAGTGTGGTACTCGTGGACTGGTAGCTGATCTGTGGCACTTTGAACAGCCGCAACAGATTGGCCAACTGTATGCTAACTGTGCTCGACTGGCCCCCAATCACACCGACCACCCGATCGTAATTGCCCTCTCGATACTTAGGCAACGAGCCATCCATACACGAGAACTCCTTGTCCTCCATGTGAGCGTTTTTTCGTGCGATAAACCCCTGAATTGTGTGTCAAATGATTTATAAATATAGCATTTTTTTGTGAAACTTTGTAAATAAAAAACAAATTTTATTTGTTTCGCAAAATTTATTTTGTTTCCAATTAATCATCGCATGATACAGTATGTGTTGAAAACTTGGTATTTTTATTGACAATAATTTATATATAGTTTTTTGTTTTTGTGTCTATCTGTTTGTGTGCCTACACTATAACTTACGACATAACGTATAATTCATTTCACCATTTGTTATAATCAATCAAAAATACTCTCTTCGATACTCTTATGTGTGATATTAATAAAAATCCTCGTCTTATATATCATGTGTAAAGAAATATTTTGACGTATCTATCGATGACACCAATGCTGTATCATTGATATACAGACGCTTTCAGGGAAACGGCTGGCATCATAACGTCTAGCTATTTATTCATCATCATGTAATTTATGCGGTATTTATGGTAAAAATATATGTGATTTAAAAGTCAAAACTAGTTTTACATATATTTGAATGAACTATGCCAATTTATTACACCGATATATAAGCTAATTTTGTTAAAATTGTTAGCTAACTGTCTGTTTGATATCCATATCTCAGACAACATGCCTTCCCATCGGATTCTCCGGAGTTTAATACAGTATTTTTGTGTCAAAAAGACAGCATTTTTCTCATTTGCCGCAAAATAACAACTCATCGCAAACCCATCTCTCGTCTCCATCACTACAACCCAAATGTCAATATTATAACCAAATGTTTATTTAGAATATAATTAAAAATTATCATTTTGTGTGCACTTTTTGCATACAGAATATTCTGTAACAACAATGATATATATTGTATACTTTAAGCCACACATTGTGTACTAAAATATTTATATAATACATTATTAATAATAAAAGTTAAACACATGTATCGCTTTTAATATTATATACAATGATTTGTTAAGCATTTGTTAAGCAGTTATTATAGGTTGGGATAAATATATTATTAAAACACAAATGTTATCTAAAAAGCTAAATATAGACTGAATTTTATGTTCAGTGTTTACTATTCAAGAAATTGATGGCAAATATTTAAAATAAATAAAATATTTCCGGATTATTGCCAACATATCCACTAAATTTCAAACCCAACTAAATGTTCATTTTTATAAGAAATTCAGTCAAAAAGCATTAAAAGAGTTATCAAACTATTATTGACATTAAGTTATTTAAGAAAATATAAGACATTCAATGGTAAAAGTCGATGCATTTTACCACATAATAAA